CCTTATTTCTCATGGTAACAAAGAGGCCATTGATTAGCTTACTTTTTATTCTATGCCATCAAAATGAAGAGCCTAATCTTTACACTGTCTTTTACTTTGCCTCAAAGAAAAAAGGAAAAAAAACCCAATTTTTATCAATTACATTTTATTAGGATAATTTTGATAAAAACGCTTTTTCCACATTAAAGACATTGTACTCTTGACAGCAATTGCAAGAAGAAATTGCTTGACAGCAATTGCAAGAAGAAAACTGTAAGCACTCAATTATATATTAAGCAGCAATTATTCATTTCATAATATGCAAAAGGGACAGTCTGAGGCTCATCTTCTCAATCAGCTTTGCTCAAATTTTTCATTTTGTTATTTCTCAGTCAAATAGACACAAAGTCAAGAGCTGCAGGTATATTTAGTCAATCTCTACCAGAGAAGGAGCATAGCTGATCTCTTTGCTTTTGTACAAGACTTTTTTCTTACTGGAATTCCACAGTTAAATCCTGGGCAAACCCCAGTTCTAATAATCTAAAGAAAAATTATCACCTATCCATTCAGCCTTAATAAGTGTCATGGCCTCCCACCTTTTGTTGTCACTTCAGCTGTATTTATTCTGAAGTAAATGAAACAAGAGCTCACAAGCAAGAAATAAGAAGATGCTAAATTCTTCATTAGTTAATCTGCAACAGATACATAGTGGATAAAAAGCCCCACCCCTGTGTAAAATGTTCACTCTATCCATATGCCAAAACAAGTAAAAAGTATATATGTTTCCTATTGATCAAGCAAAGACAACAAAAAGTAACCTTTATTATTTTCTTTATCTGAACATAGCAGGTTTTAGACAGAAATAAAATTATTTGTTCTTGTTGCGTTTTGTTCTTTTTTGCTTTACTGTATTGAGTTGTTTTTAAATTCTGCTTTGTTATTAATAAAATTTTGAAGTTTATAATGAAAGAAATACAAATTAGGGATCTTTTCTGTTTGGTTTTTTTTTTTTTTTTGTTACACTTTTTTATGCCGGTTATGATAGGAGTTAGCAATCTCCTTCAGAATCCACAGATTCAAATGATAAAGGCCAGGGATTAAGCACAGCCGATTAACAGTCTGTGTCCTCTTCAATCTAGCATTTCCACTGTAGATAAACCCATATTCAGACTGAAGATATAATAAACACACTGTCCTCAATATCATCTCCCTAGATGACCTCCTCAAAACTGACATTCAAGTATTCTTGTGGAAAATTACAGTTCATAGTAACTGCAAAAGCAGCCTAGACAATAAACACCCACAAAAATAATACTGCAGATCAAGCCAAATGTTTAGAAAGCAAAATGATAAAATGATAGTTTCACTATAAATATTTTATTTGCTTCAGTTCTGAGTAATTTATTATTACTATAGGTTTGACATATAAAATAAAATAATCTTAGATTTTATTTTTATTGCTTGCATGTGTGTCTTTAAAATAATTGCAATATTATTTATACTTATGAACAAAAAATAAAAAATCTGAATGGATCACAGTAGTTGCAACTTTTTTTCCCTTCCAAAGGCAAAAGAAAACAGTGAAAATCTCCAGCTACCTTAGGTACCATGAAATAGAAGTATTACTGTAAGGAAAGGGACACCAAAAAACACTTGTCTAGTGATAAACAGCAAAAGAATAAAAATCTACAAGACAGAATTGCAGAATTATTCTTCTAAGTATGTATATTGACTTGTATGATAAATAATATTTTCACCTAAAATGAAAAAAAAAAGCCCATAAAAAGGATGATAGTTTTTGCTTTGTAAGGACATGTTAACATAGGGAATTCTGTTGGGATTCTCGTGCTATCTGACATTTGAAATCCAGCATCTTCTGAGTCTAAAGAAAGGCTAGGATTAATACAGACACAGCAGAATATGTAAGACATTATTTTAGTTTCTTAACCTAGAAGCTCAAACTATTTTAAGGAACTATAAATTTATATGTTATTTAATTTCCTGGTACTTCTTCAGACAATAGCAGTAACATTTCAAAATCTTTTAATACAGCTAACTAAACTTATCTGTCTAGTTAAAGTGACTGTATTCTGCTCTTATTCCCATTAGTTTATCATGGAAGGATTCTAGTGAAGCAATTCTGAAATCAGATGGAAGGATATATTTATTAGTCATTTATTTGTGCATTTATTAGTCAACCCTTTATTGAAAGTACATGGTCAAAATTTGGTTCTCTTTCACAAAACCACAAAAATAATAAGAAACAGGTAATGCTATATACTGAAAAAGAACTGCAATAAAACAAAACAATGAAAAAAATCTCCAAACCTGACCTTTTGTTTAGTTATTCACCAGAATTGCTTTGAAGTAAGCACTGCAAATGACTGCAGTTAATTCATTAGCTGTTGCTCTATTCTTTTCTCCAAAGTTAAAAAAAAGGGAGAAAAAAAATTATTCAGAGTAAGTTTCATAATCAGAGTATTTATTAGGTTTGGATGATTCCAGCCACCTTTTCTTCTAGAAAACAGTTTCAAAGCGCTTTTAAATCAATCTATACTGAAGAAAGAATTGAAAATGTGAATTTAATTCAAAGTCACTCACTTTGAAATCTTGCTTCAAAAACTAATTTCATGGTCTGTTTCCATAACAACATAGATTATTTTTGCCAACTAGGACTCATATAATGAAGCATAACATCTTTAATCAGATTGTATGCGCTACTATTTAAGACTGTTTAGAGTGATTTGGAGACACACTAACTCAGAGCATCTGATTTGTAGGTCAGTTCCCGTGAAGAATCTTTATGGTCAGAAGATCACATATATTCCTCACTAAAAAGCCTCTGAGATTTATTAATTAGTGATAAGATAAACAGCATAGAATTAAAACATTGTGTACTTAATTAATTCATTTTTAATGTTCTTGTTTCCCAATGGAATATTTTAAAAATGTTATTTATATTGTAGAGGAGCAAACTTACCTTCAGCTCATCACTAACACAAACCTTGTCATCTCATTATTCAGCTACATTTTTATGCATGTGTTTGTATTTTCAACTGGAGATATAAAAGCAACTTTATACCATTTACATGCTATTTAAAGAAAATATAAAACCAGAAAGAGCAAACCAGGCTTTTTGCAAAAGTAAGTGGACAAAAAGGTCTACAGAATGTGAAATTAAGGTTCTCAGTCCTTTCTACTTTAAATCTAACAGCAAATGTCATTATCTATTATAGCAAGATGACTGTTCTAGGTTGCTCATCCAGCTCATAATATTTTACTACTTTTCATTTGATATTAAATATTTTTTTCCTAGATGTTCACATATATTTTCCCATGTCTAATCTCCTTTATCCTCTAATTAATAAATGAAACACCCCATTATTAGATTGGAGGAATGTATTATATATTAAAACTGGATTCTAAAATAAGACCGAGCAAGTAGAACTGATGTTCCTTCAGTGAGAACAAATAAAATACTAACCCAGAATACTTTCTCAGGGCAAGCTTACCCCAGTGACTAATTAAAAGATGAAGGCTAAAATCCAGAACATAAACAAATTTGGGGAAAAAAATATCTATTTCATGATCCAAGGAGTAAGAAGGAGTCCAATGAGACTGGAAGAGGGAAAGAATTGAGTTGTAAAGACCTGCTCCTTTGTCTACACACAGGGGCACACACACACACACACACACCCATGCACACACACTCTTGCACACAGAGCCTCATAAACACAGATTTCCTTTCACAGCACTTTTCCTCTAAGCACCTTGGTAGTATTTACGTTTGCAAAGCTCCCAGTATTCCCAAATCTTACTCTTTTAATTTTTAGCTTTCAAGTTTTTGCTTCAGCTGATGAGAACAGGAAAAGAAGGTGGTATGTTTATTGCTGGCAGACAGCTTGGAAATTCTGAGTAAAGAAGCCAATCAAGGCAGAAGGATTATAACAATCAAAGTGGAAAATTTGCATATTTAGAGTATGGTTACTGAGAAACAACAATGCCTTGGTTGTGTAAATCAAGCCCTCAGAAAAAGTGAAGGGGATTTGCATATCTGGGAGAAATCTTTCATGTTTTACATCTGTAACTGCATTCTAATTAGCAGAAAGCACTAGCGTTTAGTGGAATATTAAATATAAGTGCTAGTACTATTTTTATTTCTTTATGAAATAATAGACTTAGCTTGTTCGGGGCCTGATGAAAACAGGTTTTCTTGCCTGTAGGAAGTAATACTATTCAAAACAACCAAAGATATATTCATCATGCCATACAGCTACGATTTTTAAGATTGAGATCATGTAAATGTTCAAAGAGGTCTGTATTATCAATTGTGTTCATCCTTTTTGTCTATAGAAAGTGGCTTAAAGTAGCTCTCTTGAGAAAGTATTGCACAAAACAGATGAAAGATTAAAGCCATCTCTTCAAATCTGCATAATAAATCACCTTGACTTCATTTTAAATTTAGCAAATGAAGAAAAATAAGCTGGACTGAAAAGTTTCACAGACAAAAATCCTAAAAAAGCTCCTGCTGATGGAATTCCTGTAACAATTTGCTATTATCTATTAAAATCAAGCAGAGTTAACAGTAGGCCCAGAAATTTTGTAATAAAATAAAGAAAAAAAAATAGGTAAATTCTTCTTTAAAAATTAGCATGTAACAGTATGTTTGTACCATTCATACATGGAAAAATGACTATATTACTTCAGGTTGAAGTGTATTTTCCCTTTCCTCTCTTGTGAATGATTCTCAGCTGTCTTTTAGATGTAAGTTTAAGTCTGGCTGACATACCCTGGCCACTACTCACAATCAAACTGCAGGTTGGTGTTGCACTGAAAAGTAAGAGAGAATCTATGCAAGCATATTCAATCTACAAAGTATTATTAATAATTCATATTCAGAGGCATTATCCATTTCTATAGATAAAGCATGGATGAAACTCAGTAAGATGCTCTGAAGACCCAGACACTCCTCATATGTTGAACCGGTGAGCACACCGCAGTGCGGGTCTCAGGGTACTTACCATCCTCTGTGGGCACATAGATATTCAAATACAGACAGTCTTCATTTTGATCTTGAACATATGTCACCACAGTATCCAGATTGGCTGTAAACCACACTGGCAGCATGTCGTTGAGCAGTGACCTCTCATCCAGGTACTGCGGGCACACAGCGGCAAACTGCGTGGCGTTGCGGACACCCGTCCAGGACGACGGCGGCTCCGGCGGCTGGAACCGCCTTTCTCCCGTTGGAGGGGAAGCATAAGGAACACCCAAGTACTGCTCCACTGGACCAAGGATCTCATTAGGCAAAGGTGTTCTTAACCCACGTATTTTGCCATAATTCGTTGTAACAACTGGGTATTGTGCTTGGCCATCAATGAGAGTAAATCTTATAGCCAGTGCAGTTATCCACAGGAGGAAGTTAGAATTCAACATGACACACACTGGTGTGAAGATCAAAGGCAGCCATAGGAGTCCCATTGGTTTCGACATTATTTAAATCAACATCAGCAGGGCTCTTTTTTCCACAGCCAGGAGAAATTATTCAGTCAAGGAAAATGAAAACTAATAAAAAAAGTAGTCAAAAGGAGATGAAGCGAGGGAAAATGTATCTTTGTTCAGACAACAAAAAAAACAAAAGTTGATGTGTAGTAGGTGCCTCAGCTGACTGGCTGTAGACAAATCCCAATGTCAGAAGAACCAAGGGAGTGTTTGCCCCTAAGGCCCATCCCAGACTTCAGTGTTGAATTAATCCTGGCAACACACAGCACTTCCCGACAACTGGAGTGGCGAGAGATCCACAGTTATTCCACTGCCCCAGTGAAATGGCTCCTCTCAGTGAAGTCCAGCCCACTCAGTCAGCCTGTGGCCAAGAAAAAACAAACAATTCAAATCAACAGACAAATTTATGTTGGCATAAACCTTAAAAAAAAACCAAAAAAAAACAAAAAACCAACTATAAAAGTACATTCACACACCACTTCCATGCCAAGGCCCACAAATGTTTTATGAACTTTAGATATCATAGTCAGCTATGTGTTTCCAAAGATATGTAAGTTAAGAGAGCTAAACTTGAAGCCATAAGATTATTCCACAAAACAAATTTTTCTGCTTCTCTATATGCTTCCAAACCGAACCACAGACCAAACACTTCTGATTTCAGGAAGAGTATGACATTCAAGTGCTAGCTTGAGGATATTTTCTGCCCTAAATAAACAGAATCTTTGTTTTAAGCCTCTTTGCACTCCCACAGGAACCATTCATTACTTTTGTTTCCTGTATTGGATAATCTCTTTTTGCTATGAGTTGACAACTAGAGAATATTTTTCACAGACATGACTTCTTTTCTGTATGACAACCTAATTTACCTCCATCTAATTCAGAAATTCTAATGAATGAAATAAATGATTAGTTCAAATCAAGTGTGAGAATAGTCAAAATGAGATACAAATTTATTATTTTCATTTTTTTCCTATATCTGACAGAACAACGGAAAGCTAAAAGAAAAAAAAGCATACTACAATCTTTTAAGTCAGCTTTTGGCCTACATAGTGTTACAATTATTTAACATTACCTGCTTGCACTCTCTTACTTTTATTTTTAAATAGAAGGCAATTAATACAACAATTCTGAAAATGTTTAATGAAATGCAAGTCACCTGCATGTACATGCTAACCATTACAAGTGTACAAATAAACACACATCAACATTCTACCTGCCCAAATAAATTAGGAACATCCTTTTTACCCATTACTCAACTCAGAAGCACAGACAACAATTCCACAGGTAAGAAAATTCCACAAGCAAAAATTCCTTGTTATAAGAAAATGACACTGATACCTTATTTTTGGTAGGATGAACACACACGTATATATCAAAATTATATTTAAGGGGACAAGCAGGTCCTGTTTTCAGTCAGGACTCAGACATGGAAAATAATCTGAATGACAATTTATTCTCTCAAAACTCCTGGAATTTCATTTTGCCACTCTTACCACAAAACTGTTGAAACACCAGAACACCAGAGGCCAGAAAATTACCAGATACATATTACGTGTGATGGACTAAAATTTCTAGTGACATTTTCTCTAGGACTTGCAATTTCAGCACCACTTCTGAGGGACAAATCATTAACAGCTCTAATTTCCATGTCTCCAGGGGCACCACCAGGGCCATCAGTCCCTGACTTATGATGCAGGAAGCCCTACACCCAACCCCATGCCCAGACTGGATCTTGGCCTCACTGGGTCTCCAGGTAGACCTTGGACCTGACTCCTCACCCTGGCCTTACAATTCTTGGGTGGTGGCAGAGTCCTGTCCCTATTACAGCGACCTGAGGAGGTCTCCATGGTGAGAGAAGGATAAGAATCTTGTTTGATGATCAGAAGGCTGGATTTATTGCTATATGATATATAATACATTATTACTATACTAAAAAGAATATGAAGAGAAGTTGCAGAGAGCTGCTAAGCTAAGAATAGAATAGAAAAGAATGAATAACAAAGTTCTGTGTCCAGGGAATTTGTGCCCGAGCTGCTCCTGTGATTGGCCCTTAATGGTAAACACGGAACCTGAACCAGTCACAGGGGCACCTGCTACATTTCACAGCAGCCGATAACAATTGCTTACATTCTTCTTCTGGGGCCTTTGCCTCCCAGAAGATGCACAAATCCCAAAGAAAGGATTTCTGTGAAAAAATGTCTGCGACATGTCCCTGTCCTCAGCCCACCCTCAACAGGGAGCCGTACAAGTTCAGAGTCTTGCCCTGCCAGCTGTGCAGTGCCCACGGCTCCTGGGTCACCCTCTCCCATGGACAGCCCCATTTCAGCTGCTCCTGGCACTCAGAGTGGTCAGCCAGCAATGGGTCTCTCAAAATTCCTCCTCAAGCAACACTTTCCCTTCTGATTTTTGCTACCATCTTTAACAATGGAAATCAGCAGCAGGTGGTTGATGTTGAGTAGCATTCCTCTTGCTCTGTCCCATCCTGATTTTGGCACACTTTACTGATCATGCAGCACAAATCAGATTTTCCAGTTATATCTGTGCTTTGAGAGGAGCAACAGATCTTATTCCCTTGACACCCACACTGCAGAAGTTTGTAATGACATTCTAAGAAATGTGGAATGCAGCACTAAGAAAATAGACAAGGTGGAAGGAAACACAGTGATCCAAATGACGAAAGATGGATAGAAAAAAAAAAATTTTGGGCAAACAGCAAGCAAAAAAGAGGAAAAAAAGCAAGAAAAGAAAATGGGAATGACAAATAAACAAGAGTGAACATATTACCAGCAGGGAGAGAACCAAAACTGACAACATGAAGGAAATCCTCAGCTGATACAGCAGAGAGAATATGCAATTGTAAAAAAATGTGATGTACTAAATAGTATGGCTTTCTTGGGCACCTGGATACATGCTGGCTCACATCCAGCCAGCTCTCAATCAGCACCCCCAAGTCCCCTTCAGCTGAGCAGCTCTCAGGACACTGCTCCCCAAGCCTGGAGCATTGCAACCCAACTGCAGGACCTGACCCTTGGCCTTATCAATCCTCAGAGAACTGATCTCAGTCAATCCAGCCTGTCGAGTTCCTTTTGCAGAGCCTTCCTACACTCCAGCAGATCAATACTCCCATCCAATTTAGTATGATCTGTGAACTTACTGAGGATGCATGTGATCCCTTCCTCCAAATCATCAATAGAGACATTAAGCTGTCCCCAATACTGAGCTCTAGGGAACACCACTGCTGACCAGCTGCCAACTGGATTTAACTCCATTCAGCACCACTCTCTGGGCCTGACTATCCTGCCAGTTTTTCACCCAGTGAATACTGCACCCATCCAAGCCATGAATAGCCAGTTTCCCCAGGAGAATGCTGTGGGAGACAGTATCCAGTGCTTTACTGAAGTCTGGATAAACAAAATCCACAGCCTTTCCCTTATCCACCAGCCAAGTTACTTTATGACAGAAAGAGATCAAGTTAGTCAAACAGGATCTGCCTTTGGTAAACCCATTTGTGAGTATCATCCGGGCCTGATTCTCTGGCTGTCCTGCACACAGCATGTGATGGCACTCAGGATGATCTGTTCCATGACCTTCCCCAGCATCAAGGACAAGCTGACAGGCCTGTGTTTCCCTGGGTCATCCTTCTGACCCTTCTTGTGCATGGGCATTACATTTCCTAGTTTTCCACCAACGTGACCTTCTCCAGTTAAAAAGGACTGCTGGTAAGTGGTTTAAAGCAGTTTAAAGCTCTTTCACCAGCTTCCTCAGGTGTATCCCATCTGAGCCCATAGACTTATGTGTGTCTAATTTGCTATAAGTAGCAGATCACTAACCATTTCCTCCTGGATTAACGGGGCTTCACTCAGCTCTCCATACTTCCCCAGCTTCCAGCTCTGGGAGCTGGCCATCCTGGGGACAACTGATTTTGCTATTATACTGAAGCAAAGAACTCTGACTGAGGCAAGGAAAGCAAAAATATCTTGTTTAGGTAAGAAAATTAGGCAGAAAATATCACAATTAGGCAGAAAATATCACACATTTCAGTTTATCGACATTACTAGAGAAATGACAATTTTCCTAAGGTTAGTTTCACATGTGAAATGTATACACACTCATACACAAAGACACAGAAAATAATTTTCAATAATAATATTGAGAAGTAAGGAAGAAGTCATGCTGCCTATTAAATTGTGAACTGTGATGACTATGATATGATATTAGATACATGACTGAAAATGTTGGAAGATGTAAATAGAGAGTCACAGATTTCAATTAGGGATTAATCTTAAATAGAAAACTAAACATTCTAGAAAGGTTTTTAGATATATCAAAACTGGTATGATGTTGAATTATATGTATACAGTCAGCTATTTAATATGCCTTTACTTACTGAGTCTACAGGAAGACATGTACTTGTCATGTCTTTATTTATTATCACTTATAGTGTTGTACTTTTTCCATATTTTTATTTACTGCTTTAAATATTAGAAAAATGCATACAAGCTGCCTGCAAAAAATTCGTAGTTGGAAGTATCACTCATTCAAACAATCGAAAATAGTCAATCCAAATAAGAATTTTCAGTTCAAAATGACAACTTCTGGTAGCACACCACACAGAGAAGTCAAGGAAGATCTGAAATCAGATACAATCACATACAAGGATTTTGTTATTGGCAGAGGAGTGTAACTTGAGTCTAATGAGACATTTATGGCCTTTGAAGAAAATGCAGATTGAAGTTAACATGGATGTGTGTCTGGAAATACCACTTGTTCTTGTTTATAAATCTGTGCCCCAAGACACTCTTAGAGATGTTTAAATAGTCTATGAATCACACCTTCAGGGCTAAACTGAAGGTTTCCAGGAATGCAGTTACCACTTTTTCAACCTGAGAACATTGTCAGTAGCTCTGCACTCATTTTGTAGCTGCTAGGGAAACAGAAGACATGGCTTAGAAGTCATCTTTGCTCCAGTGTAGAATAAAAAACTGAAGTGACTTCAAGTTTATTTTTTGATCCTCTTGTTCAGTTACAAGAAAACTAAGCAGAAATATAAATTATATCAATACAGGAAACTGAAGACTCTGCAGTTATCCCAGGGTTTCCCAGGCTTTATCTAATACAACTAATGCAGAACAGTACACCTCAGCTTGCAGTCACTGACCACATCTATTCTCTGGCCCTCCCTTCTGCTCATATTCCCAAGGGAGTTCTTGGGCATGTACATAGCTCAGACCTCAATAGAGAGTCAGGGTTAAAGACTCACATCCCTTTCATTAGACAGACATTCTGAAAGCATACAGTGCTCTTGATTAGCTGAAATATAAGAGCAACCAGCTAGTCAGTAGAAAAAAACGGACAAATTAT